ATAGGGTTAAGATATATAACTTTTTATTTTTATTTTTATTTTTTTTACGAATTATCCAAATAATGTTTAGTCCTAGAAAGCTATTATTATCAGATCACGTGAGCATAACATGCGGTTAGACAGCCAGTCTACTGATAGACAGGACATGCATTGGTGTGGATTTTAATAGAGTTACTGTTGTATTTATAGTTATATATATATATATAAAATATTATAAGACCCAAATAAATAAATGAACTAACTGAAGGCACAAAACCCATGTGATTAGACTTTATTAGTACTATATTATTTGCAGTTAAAAAAGGGGGAAATACAAACATTTAGAAAATGTAAAAAATAATTGCCTGATGCCATAGATATCTGGTAACAATTTTGTAACCATATTCTTATTTTATTGTAGAAATAATCAGTGTTGTTTTAGTATCATTGATGCAATATTGGGTTAGATTTTTCTGTTTTATTTATAATTTTAGTATTTAGAATGTAATCAATTTATTTATTTTATTTTTTATTAGTCAATGTTTTTTTATTTTAGTGTCAATTTATTTTAGTTTGCATTGATTTTATTTCAAGTAACAACAATGTTTTATGTTTCTAGTTAACTATAATAAGCCTGGAAATAATCATGTTCATTGTATCTTTTTTACCCCCCCCAGAGATTTTGCTGCCGGAATTTGCAACAAGATTAGTGAAATGATTCAAGGTATGTGCTATCGTCATGTGAGTGGTCTTGATGGTTTGGATTAGTGGTCTCCGGTCTGACTGAACTGTGTGTGTTTGACTGAAGGACTGGACACTCCAGTGGAGCTGAAGCTGAAGTTGATCCCGATGCTGCAGCACATGCACCATGATGCCAGTCAGGCCTCGTGCAGCAGGGAGTTACTGCAGGAGCTGGTGTCCTCCTACCCCTCCACACCCATGCTCATCGTCACGCTGCACACCTTCACCCAGCTGGCCACCTCCTCACTCGTCGATATCCCTGAGCAGGTCAGAGCATGTCTACTGTTGTCTTAAAGGGGTCATCGGATGCCCATTTTCCACAAGTAGATATGATTCTTTAGCATCTCAATGAAAAGTCTTTAACATACTTTGGTTGAAATTTCTCCATGGTAGCGTAAAACGACACTCTTTTTACCTTGTCAAAAACAGCAAGACATTTTAGTACATGTCCTTTTAAATGCTAATGAGCTCTGCTGACCCCGTCCCTCTCTTTTGTGGGGTGGCGAGCCGTTCTCTGAGAGACTGTTTACTTTAGCCACGGAACTTGCTAACTAACACTTGTGAAACGCCCCGATGCTTTGATTCGCCTTAGTCATGTGACATGGGTGTTTCGAATCACACTTCGGAGCTGTGTTTCGAAACATCTGCGCTTCGGGATCTCGACACCGTGTCGAAACGTCAGTTTCACGTCAGTCATCCCTAAGGCTGGATCACGAATGATTCGCGCGAACATAAACGCATTTAGGTAGATCGGGGGGCGCATTCCCTTCAAAAACAAACGTAATCGACTGCGTCTTCAGCGGCTCAGATGTCGGGAGTAAATGACGACTGCTATGTTCATTATTACATCCAACAGAACACCTCAATCACTTAGGAGTCATTCTTGTCTATACGTGCTCTAGCGGCGAAACAATGGCGGACTAATGACAGCTCACTCAGGGCGGGTCAATCAACAATCGTGGGAGGGGCCTGGGTCTGTGTGATGTCACAAAAGACAAGAAGCTGAGAACGGCTTGATTTGAGAAAGGGGATATTATTTATAGGGATTTAAAAAAACTACTGGGTGGATTTTTATCGTTTTAGGGTGGATGTGTACAAACACTGCCAACACACATTTACAGTGGGGAAAAAAAGTATTTAGTCAGCCACCAATTGTGCAAGTTCTCCCACTTAAAAAGATGAGAGAGGCCTGTAATTTTCATCATAGGTATACCTCAACTATGAGAGACAAAATGAGAAAAAAAAAATTCAGAAAATCACATTGTAGGATTTTTAAAGAATTTATTTGCAAATTATGGTGGAAAATAAGTATTTGGACATGGGTGTTTCGAATCACACTTCGGAGCTGTGTTTCGAAACATCTGCGCTTCGGGATCTCGACACCGTGTCGAAACGTCAGTTTCACGTCAGTCATCCCTAAGGCTGGATCACGAATGATTCGCGCGAACATAAACGCATTTAGGTAGATCGGGGGGCGCATTCCCTTCAAAAACAAACGTAATCGACTGCGTCTTCAGCGGCTCAGATGTCGGGAGTAAATGACGACTGCTATGTTCATTATTACATCCAACAGAACACCTCAATCACTTAGGAGTCATTCTTGTCTATACGTGCTCTAGCGGCGAAACAATGGCGGACTAATGACAGCTCACTCAGGGCGGGTCAATCAACAATCGTGGGAGGGGCCTGGGTCTGTGTGATGTCACAAAAGACAAGAAGCTGAGAACGGCTTGATTTGAGAAAGGGGATATTATTTATAGGGATTTAAAAAAACTACTGGGTGGATTTTTATCGTTTTAGGGTGGATGTGTACAAACACTGCCAACACACATTTACAGTGGGGAAAAAAAGTATTTAGTCAGCCACCAATTGTGCAAGTTCTCCCACTTAAAAAGATGAGAGAGGCCTGTAATTTTCATCATAGGTATACCTCAACTATGAGAGACAAAATGAGAAAAAAAATCCAGAAAATCACATTGTAGGATTTTTAAAGAATTTATTTGCAAATTATGGTGGAAAACAAGTATTTGGTCAATAACAAAATTTCATCTCAATACTTTGTTATATACACTTTGTTGGCAATGACAGAGGTCAAACATTTTCTGTTGTTTTAATAGTGTTAATGCTACAAAATCAATCAATTTCTTCTTATGTTCACTGTTTTTGCTTGTATGTTAATGTGCAAAATATTTAGAGCAGCAGGACTGATTCTCAGAATCAGAAATATTTTATTTGTTACTGCAGTGTATCCACAGTAACATTTTAAAATCTGCTACCAAGTAGAACATTTCAGTGTACTCTACAAACTGGGTCACAGACAGGAACATCCACTGTAGACAGCTTCATTGATTATAATGGTAACTATTTAGATTTGTCATAATGCATTTCTGTTTTGAGTCTGTTGTTTTGAACTCATTTGACATAATTTGAAGCCATATTTGCACTGGTGCTAGATGTATCTTTTTTTTTTTCTCCCCAAATGATTAATTCAAATGAACAAACATTTCTAGTAGTAGTGGTAGTAGTATTTAGTTCATTGGATTATAAAAAATGCCATTATTCAATGGTACACTACCATTCAAAAGTTTCGGGTGAGTACGTTTTTTTTATTGTTTTTTTATATTAAATGTATACTCAGCAAATATACATTATACAATTATATTGTATATATAATACATATTTCAAGAAATTCTGTTATTTCAAACTTAGTTTTTTCAACGTTGATAATAATAAGAAATGTTTCTTGAGCAGCAAATCAGCATATTAGAATGATTTCTGAAAGATCATGTGACACTGAAGACTGGAGTAATGATGCTGAAAATTCAACTTTACCGTAACAGGAATTAGGGCTGTGCGATATGGACAAAAAAAATGTCTTTGATCAATTTTGCGATTTCGATTTTAATCACGATTTTGACACACACAGACATGCTTTACAGTCATTAATGCATTCAGTGTGAATTTGAAACATATTTCCAATAGAAAACCAATTAGACCTTTATCAAGAAGCTGTTACATGTCTCTAGAACAGACATATGGCAGGAATTTTTTTTTTTGCCATGCATTGGTCATAGAGCTCTTTGTGGCGTTGCCTCAGATGTTGAACTAGATTTGTTGTGCCAAGTTCACACATACTCCATCTGCAGTGCGTATACAGTATGTGTATGCGGTGCAGATGCAGCACGGACTCATTTTGCTTTCGCACAGGACGCGTTTGCAATCCGCTCCTGATTGGCTGTTTACCACAAACACAACATTTATCCATTATTTTGATTTCAAATCCAAACGTTGTTTCTGAAAATGCTAGTTTTTCAGCATTGTGATTCTCTTTTATCACAGTACAGTAATACAATCTTTCATAGACATATTCACGTTTAAAACACACACAGACATGCTTTACAGTCATTAATGCATTCAGTGTGAATTTGAAACATATTTCCAATAGAAAACCAATTAGACCTTTATCAAGAAGCTGTTACATGTCTCTAGAACAGACATATGGCAGGAATTTTTTTTTTTGCCATGCATTGGTCATAGAGCTCTTTGTGGCGTTGCCTCAGATGTTGAACTAGATTTGTTGTGCCAAGTTCACACATACTCCATCTGCAGTGCGTATACAGTATGTGTATGCGGTGCAGATGCAGCACGGACTCATTTTGCTTTCGCACAGGACGCGTTTGCAATCCGCTCCTGATTGGCTGTTTACCACAAACACAACATTTATCCATTATTTTGATTTCAAATCCAAACGTTGTTTCTGAAAATGCTAGTTTTTCAGCATTGTGATTCTCTTTTATCACAGTACAGTAATACAATCTTTCATAGACATATTCACGTTTAAATTCAATAAATATAACTTTGTTTAACTACCACCACGAGTGCCATCTATTATTGCCTTGTTTATCTAAAAGTGCACTTTTCCTTGTTTTAAATCTAGCCAAAAAGCCATGTGTTGACTGTGAAACAGTAGACTTTAAATTATATGCATTTATGGTGTAATTACTAAATTTCCGTGTCAGTCCAAGTTAATTTTTACCGCGAATAATGCGCTGTCACTTTAATTCAGCGAGTGCAGCACAGCAGAAATAGACTCTGTGCTGAAACGATTGCAGCATGACTGCTGTAGACGCACCACTCCTGAAGCGCACTGCCGGACCGCAATCGTATGCAGTGTGAACGCGCGGACAAAATACGCACCACAGACGGAGTGTGTGAACCTGGCGTTACGTTTGTATGCCCGCCCGCCCGGTCTGTTCTGTTCTCGTGCTCCGTTTAGGCGCGCTGCATTCTGATTGGTTCGGATAGCATACTGCGGGAGGTCGGGGCGCGGAAAATCGTGCTGTAAAGCGATTTAGAAATCGCGCACTCTCAAATCACGATTTTATGGCGATTTCGATTAATCGCACAGCCCTAACAGGAATGCATTACCTTTTAAAATGTTTCATAATACAAAACAGTTATTTTAAATTGTAATAATATTTCACAGTATTTATATTTTTAGCTAGGCTATTTTTTTTCAATATATTAGTATTTTTGATCAAATAAATGCATTGATGAAAATAAGAGCTTTCCAAAAAAATCTACATTAAAAAAAATATTACCGACCCCAGATGTTTAAATGGTAGTGTATGCAATATATTTCCAGCAAAAAAAATAAATAAAATTGTTACTATATAATAAAATGGTGATATGATTCCCTTGGCTATGATATTCATTTCAGTTCCTCCTCACACAATTTCTCTCAATTTATTTTTATTTTTTTTTACAGTATTTCTTTTTTCCTTTTTGTCTTATAGATTCATCTGCTTCTCCAGTACTTGAAGGAGGACCCCAGAAAAGCAGTGAAAAGACTCGCCATTCAGGATCTCAAGCTCTTAGCTAAAAAAGCTCCTCACTTGTGGACCAGGAAGAACATACAAGTCAGAGAGTCATGAATAAATGTGGGACAACTGGTTCACTCACTACAATAAATGTAATTTCCAGGTTGTGTGTTTGTAGGTG